CCTTTCCTTTCCTTTCCTTTCCTTTCCTTTCCTTTCCTTTCCTTTCCTTTCCTTTCCTTTCCTTTCCTTTCCTTTCCTTTCCTTTCCTTTCCTTTCCTTTCCTTTCCTTTCCTTTCCTTTCCTTTCCTTTCCTTTCCTTTCCTTTCCTTTCCTTTCCTTTCCTTTCCTTTCTCCTCCTCTTGCTTTATCCTTTCCTTTCCTTTTTCCCTTTCCTTTCCTTTTTTCCTTGCTTTGCCTTTTTGCCTTCCCTTCCTTTTCCTTCCCTCCCCTTCCTTCCCCTTCCCTCCCCTTCCTTCCCTTCCCTTCTGAGCGTGTGAGATGTCAGCTTCTTCTAGAACTGGTGTTTAAAACAAGAGTTTTCTGTTTTAAACAGAACTCTCTGTTTGAAGAGTTTAAAACACTCTTTTCTCATCGCCCTCAGGGACACAACGGTCAAAAGAAAGCGATCGACTGCTTCTCTGCACAAAGGGCTGCTCTCTGGGTTTTGTTATTTGCTGGATAAGACCCCTGCTTTTCTTCCTCCTTGTCATTCCCTTCCTCCTCCTCCTTCTTCTCCTCTTTCTTTCTCCTGCTTTTTCCTTTCCTTTCCCCTTTCCCCTTTCCCTTCCCTTTTCTATGATCCGAAATCCAGGTCTGCACTACCAAAAAACCAAAACCCCTCACCCCAGGCCCAGCAACTGACGGAGAGCTACAGATTTCAAACCGCTGTCTCTAACAAAACCAATTAGAGAAGGTTTTGGGTTATTACCACGTTCAGACAATTTGTTCAGGTTGTTGAAGCCCCGCAATAGGTTAGAGCGCTAATTAGGAGCTCCTCACCTTTCCTCTCCTTTCTCCTCCTCTGCTTTTGCCTTCCCCTTTCTCTTTCCTTTTTCCTTTCCTTTTTCCCTTCCCTTCCCTTTTTTCTTTCCTCTCCTTTCTCCTCCACTTGCTTTTTCCCTTCCCACTTGCTTTTTCTTTCCTTCCTCCTCCTCTTTCTTTCTCCTTTCCTTTCCTTCCTCCTCCTCTTTCTTTCTCCTTTCCTTTCCTTCCTCCTCCTCTTTCTTTCTCCTTTCCTTTCCTTCCTCCTCCTCTTTCTTTCTCCTTTCCTTTCCTTCCTCCTCCTCTTTCTTTCTCCTTTCCTTTCCTTCCTCCTCCTCTTTCTTTCTCCTTTCCTTTCCTTCCTCCTCCTCTTTCTTTCTCCTTTCCTTTCCTTCCTCCTCCTCTTTCTTTCTCCTTTCCTTTCCTTCCTCCTCCTCTTTCTTTCTCCTTCCCTTCCCTTCTTCTTTCCTCTCCTTCCTCCTCTTTCTTTTTCCCTTTCCTCTCCTTTCTCCTCCTCTGCTTTTTCCTTCCCCTTTCACTTTCCTTTCTCCTTTCCTTTCCTTCCTCCTCCGCTTCCTTTATCCTTTCCTTTTTCCCTTCCCTTCCTTTCCTTTCCTTCCCTTCCCAATGGCTATCAGAGGATAACACCATCATGCCAGGAATTTGCCCTCTCTTCTATTTCTACTACTCAATAGGAAAAGGAAATAAAACCATCTAGAAGCTCATTTCATGATGAGCTTCCAAGACATTCCAACCCCACCTGGACACGTTCCTGTGCAACCTGCTCTGGGTAGACCTGCTCTGGCAGGGGGTTGGATGAGATGATCTCCAGAGGTCCCTTCCAACCCCATATCATTCTGTGATTCCAAAACCTGGTCTGGTGGGAGGTGTCCCTGCTCAGGGCAGGGGGTTGAAATGAGATGGTCTTTAAGGTCCCTTCCAACCCAAACCATTCTATGATCCGAAATCCAGGTCTGCACTACCAAAAAACCAAAACCCCTCACCCCAGGCCCAGGAACTGATGGAGAACTACAGATTTCAAACTGCTGTCTCTAACAGAACCAATCAGAGAAGGTTTTGGGTTATCACCACGTTCAGACAATTTGTTCAGGCTGTTGGAGCCCCGCAATAGGTTATAACACTAATTAGGAGCTCCTCGCTCACCTTCAGACTGTTGTATGCAAAGTCTTCCTGGTCTGAAGTCACTTCGCTCTTCATTTCATTTACCTGCATGGATAAGAGAGATAAATTTACATATAAAACACGGGCACGGGATGGTTAGACACGTCTCCATCAACAGCCAGCCCTGCCGCATCGCTGCCGGCCACCTCAACCCTAACGACGTCATTAATTGCCGTTAGACAGAGTTCCAGCAACACGTAGCGGGGAAGCTTCAGGAGAAAATGGTTTAATCTCTCATTAATATCTCGACAACGAGACGGGAGGCTGGGGAAGTTTCCCATTTCAAGTGTTGTATGCAAATTGCTCGAGGTGATCAGCAAAAACATCTGGTGAAGCAAGGAACTAATTACCGTGGAGGATTTTGTTGAGTCTCTCGCTGTGTTTTGCTAAAAGATACACGGACCTCACGCTGGAGAGGAAGAAACAAAATAATTCCCAAACAAAGCAACAAAAGGCCCAGAAATTTCAATTATGAAATCAAGAGGGATGGCATTTGCTCAGTGTTTCATGGAAGAGCATCTTTACTGCTTCATCTTTACCACGGACACAGCGTGGCTGTTTCATGACGTGCATCGTCTTCCACACTCCGGGGCTCTCAATGAGGGCAGGGTAAAAAATAGACAAGAAATCAGGAGCAGGAGGAGTGGGACCAGCAGGTGGAGGGAGGTCATCCTGCCCCTCTGCTCTGCCCTGGGGAGGACCCAGCTGGAGCACTGGGACCAGTTCTGGGCTCCCCAGTTCCAGAAGGACAGGGAACTGCTGGAGAGGGGACAGCAGAGGGCTACAAAGATGCTGAGGGGCCTGGAGCATCTATCTGCTGAGGAAAGGCTGAGGGACTTCTTGGGTCTTTTGAGTCTGGAGAAGAGAAGACTGAGGGGGGATCTGATCAAGGCCTAGAAATACTTGAAGGGTGGGTGTCAGGAGGATGGGGCCAGGCTTTTTTCAGTGGTGCCCAGGGACAGGACAAGAGGAAATGGGCACAAACTTGACCATAAGAAGTTCCACCTCAACATGAGGAGGAACCTCTTTACTTTGAGGGTGGCAGAGCCCTGGCAGAGGCTGCCCAGAGAGGTGGTGGAGTCTCCTTCTCTGGAGACATTCCAACCCCACCTGGACGCGTTCCTGTGCAACCTGCTCTGGGTGGACCTGCTTTGGAACCTGGTTGGACTAGATGATCTCCAGAGGTCATTTCAACCCCATATCACTCTTTGATTCTATTAAAAGCCCCCTATGGCAAACATCAGCCCACTGGCAGCTGGAGAGCACTGTATTTTCAGATTCCAGTTGCAAGTCAGGACCGAATCCTAAGTTATCACTGGGTTGCCCAAAATCTAGATTTATATCTATTTTTTTAAATGACTTAGAAGGAAACCACTCAATCTGTAAGAAGATCTTTTTTCACAAGGAAAAAAGAATATATTGAAGGAATATCCCTTCTCTGTAATAGAGAGAAAAGGAAGGACGCCTCCTACTAACACTTATCTTCCTATTTCTGGTTTATTATACCATTTTTTATGCTATATTCCTAGATGATGATTACTGGGCATTAAAAAAAAAGAAAGAAACGCATATAGATAATAACACCAAAGTAAGGACACAAGACTGAGAAGCAGCAGCTGCAAAGAAGCACTTGAATAACTGAAATCAACCAGAAGAAATGGGGAGATGTGGGATACCAGGGCCTTTCTCTTCACGACTTCATTGATGCAGGCAGAATAAAATGCTCCAAAATTGATCCTACACCTCACTGCTATGAAGATTCTTAAGATTCTGTCCTAAAATCTGTTATAACCAGCTTAGAAGAGAAAATATAATTAAAAAAAACCCCACTATTGTCGAATTGTCCTTAGTTTTTCTCCATTTCCCAGCTGGATTTGCTGCCTCTTAACATGAACTTGTCACTCTGAAACCTCAATTCCTATATCCTGTGTCCTCCAGCAACCAAGGGAAGCCAGTTCCCAACGTGAAATATCACTATCAAGGAAAAGACATCTCTCACCTGAGAGCAACCCCACCTGGACACGTTCCTGTGCAACCTGCTCTGGGTGGACCTGCTTTGGACCTGGTTGGACCAGATGATCTCAAGAGGTCATTTCAACCCCATATCACTCTTTGATTCTATTAAAAGCCCCCTATGGCAAACATCAGCTCACTGGCAGCTGGAGAGCGCTGTATTTTCAGATTCCAGTTGCAAGTCAGGACCGAATCCTAAGTTATCACTGGGTTGCCCAGAATCTAGATTTATTTATATCTATTTATATTTTATATCTATTTATATATATATTTATTTATATCTATTTTTTTAAATGACTTAGAAGGAAACCACTCAATCTGTAAGAAGATCTTTTTTCACAAGGAAAAAAGAATATATTGAAGGAATATCCCTTCTCTGTAATAGAGAGAAAAGGAAGGACGCCTCCTACTAACACTTATCTTCCTATTTCTGGTTTATTATACCATTTTTTATGCTATATTCCTAGATGATGATTACTGGGCATTAAAAAAAAAGAAAGAAACGCATATAGATAATAACACCAAAGTAAGGACACAAGACTGAGAAGCAGCAGCTGCAAAGAAGCACTTGAATAACTGAAATCAACCAGAAGAAATGGGGAGATGTGGGATACCAGGGCCTTTCTCTTCACGACTTCATTGATGCAGGCAGAATAAAATGCTCCAAAATTGATCCTACACCTCACTGCTATGAAGATTCTTAAGATTCTGTCCTAAAATCTGTTATAACCAGCTTAGAAGAGAAAATATAATTAAAAAAAACCCCACTATTGTCGAATTGTCCTTAGTTTTTCTCCATCTCCAGCTGGATTTGCTGCCTCTCAACATGAACTTGTCACTCTGAAACCTCAATTCCTATATCCTGTGTCCTCCAGCAACCAAGGGAAGCCAGTTCCCAACTGAAATATCTCTACCAAGGAAAAGACATCTCTCACCTGAGAATAAAATGCTCCAAAATTGATCCTACACCTCACTGCTATGAAGATTCTTAAGATTCTGTCCTAAAATCTGTTATAACCAGCTTAGAAGAGAAAATATAATTAAAAAAAACCCCACTATTGTCGAATTGTCCTTAGTTTTTCTCCATCTCCAGCTGGATTTGCTGCCTCTCAACATGAACTTGTCACTCTGAAACCTCAATTCCTATATCCTGTGTCCTCCAGCAACCAAGGGAAGCCAGTTCCCAACGTGAAATATCACTATCAAGGAAAAGACATCTCTCACCTGAGAGGATTTCTTGCTCTCCTGCTCCTTTTTCTCCAGTTGGGTTTGCAACTTCTTCCTCTCCTGCTCGAGCTCCCTCACTCGCTTCTGTAGCTTTAGGAAGACCGTCATGTCCAAGGCAGCTTTCTCCATCCCGACCTCCTGGAGAAGAACAGGGGAGTGGAAAAAGGAGAAGACCTCAGACAAGTTTTGAAATCACACACAGTGACAGATAAACCCTGACTGTACATCAGCACCGACCCCACAGCTGATAACAGGAGCATCCCAAGGAAGGAATGTACTTTTGAAGCCCAAACTCCCTTTTATGCACCTATTTTTAATGTCAGTTGACTCATTTTAATAAATCACTGAATGTTTAACAGCCCATCAGAGAAGTAGCTGTTTGGGGCCACAGCTAAGAACATTAAAAATGCCCTACCAAGTCCCTTTTGGCCAAGTATTTATTAGTTGGTTTAGAGAATCATAGAATGGATTGAGTTGGAAGTGACTTCAAAGATCATCCAGTTCCAACCCCACCCCTGCCCTGGGCAGGGACACCTCCCACCAGACCAGGTTGCTCCAAGCCCCCTCCAACCTGCCCTTGAACCCCTCCAGGGATGGGGCAGCCACAGCTTCTCTGGCCAACTTGGGCCAGGCTCTCACCACCCTCACAGCAAAGAAGTTCTTCCCCAGATCTCATCTCAATCTCCCCTCTTTCAGTGTCAAACCCTTCCCCCTCATCCTAGGGCTCCCCTCCCTGATCCAGAGTCCCTCCCCAGCTTTCCTGGAGCCCCTTCAGGACTGGAAGGGGCTCTAAGGTCTCCAAGTCCTTCTCCTCAGGGCTGCTCTCCAGCCATTCTCCACCCAACCTGTATTTGTGCTTGGGATTGCCATGTCCCAGGTGCAGGACCTTGCACTTGGCCTGGTTGAACTTCATGAGGTCTGCATGGTCCCACCTCTCCAGCCTGTCCAGGTCCCAGAAGAGTAAGCACTTGACACAGCACCACCACCCTGCAATCCCTCTCACACAATTAACGCTGTATTTCTGCTGGGAGAAATTAATTTCATCCCTCACACCTTGTAGTCCAACCTGTGCCCCCCAAAACCCACATCAACCATCCCTCCTCCCCCCTGAGCCCCCCCCATTTTCCTCTACCTCCACTTGTTGAATCACATCCTCGGTGTCTCCAATCTCAGAGGTTGAGATGGACGGATAATTGGAATCAGACTCCAAACTGCTCTGGTTGGATGGGTTTCTCCTGTGTCCTGGTGCTTGCTGCCAAGAAGATGTGCAGATACACAATGTCTTCAGTGTTTAAGGAAGGATTCCCCACAAAAAATTGCTTCTTAGAACAAATATGTGTCTATATATTAAGTTTATGTTTGCTAAACGCTTGACTCTCACCTTAAAGTGAATTCCATTTTCTAGTCCTATGTGAAGCGATACAGAAGCTCAGTTTAAAGAATTCTGCATGAATTAAAGTCTTTTCATGAGGCAAGATGCCTGTTAATTGCCAACATGCAAATCTGAGCTCAAGCCTGCCGGGGCTCCCTTTAAAGGCTCAACCTTCCACCTAATCCAGAAGCTCTTCTAAGGCTTCAGCAAAGGTGGACCTAAAAACTTTGGCTTTTGAAATTCCGAAGTCACATTGTTGGTTTTTTTTTTGTTTTGTTGGTTTTTTAAGCCAACACCTACACAGGAACATCACTGAAATGATCTTGGGTTTTTTTGTTTTGTTTTGTTGTGTTTTTAACCCAACATCTACACAGGAACATAACTGAAATGATCAGGGCTACAAAGATGATCAAGGGACTGGAGCATGTCTCTGCTGAGGAAAAGCTGAGGGACTTCAGTCTGGAGAAGAGAAGACTGAGGGGGGATCTGATCAAGGCACCTAAATACTTGAAGGGTGGGTGTCAGGAGGATGGGGCCAGGCTTTTTTCAGTGGTGCCCAGGGACAGGACAAGAGGGAACGGGCACAAACTTGACCATAAGAAGTTCCACCTAAACATGAGGAGGAACTTCTTCACTTTGAGGGTGGCAGAGCCCTGGCAGAGGCTGCCCAGAGAGGTGGTGGAGTCTCCTTCTCTGGAGACATTCCAACCCCACCTGGACACGTTCCTGTGGGACCTGCTCTGGGTGGACCTGCTTTGGCAGGGGGTTGGAGGAGATGATCTCCAGAGGTCCCTTCCAACTCCATATCATTCTGTGATTCCATGTGAAACAAATAAAAAGCAAAACAAGAAGCATGAACCAGCTTTTGGTGAGATTCACAGATATCTCTATGTAATTAAAAGCGTGAAAGATCAAGCTCTTTTCTCAAGGCACAAATAAGGTTTGGCTTCAGCGTCAAAGTTCAGTCTTAGAACTATCAAGCCCGATAATATCAGTTCATAGAATCATAGAATGGTTTGGGTTGGAAGAGACCTTAAAGATCATCTAGTTCCAACCTCCTGCCCTGGGCAGGGACAACTCCCACCAGACCAGGTTGCTCCTAAGCCCCCTCCAACCTGGCCTTGAAGACCTCCAGGGATGGGGTATCCACAACTTCTTTAGGCAACCTGTTCCAGTGTCTCACCACGGTTATTCTATCAGTTCTACTAAGCTTTCCAGGGTTGAGTCAGCCACATCCTCCAGCCACCAGTGTCACATCCAGGACACAGCAGAAGGAGGACAACTGCAGTTTCGTTACCTTTATAATAGTCATTTCATCCCGCAAGTTGTCATATCTCTGCTCCAGCCTTGAATACTCTTTTACCAGGTTCTGGTAACGAGACCTCTCTTCTTCCAGCTCTTTCTTCATCTGGATATTTTCCTCAACTGTGTTTCGTGCAAATTCATCTTTAAAATAAAGGGGAAAAAAAAAAAAGAAAAGAAATTACGATCTTCATCTCTGAAATGAATTTCTTGTAAATATGTGCGATAACGATGACTAATTAACAAAATGCTCTCTGCCAAGAAGCTCTAAAATAAATACAAATAAGCATTCTCTAATATTTAGAGACTATTATAATCTAGAGCTGTCTCCTTGCCATTTGGAACAGCTTGAACTCTCCTGCTCAGAGACCACGGTCCTCTGCCAACCCAGTTAAAGAAAAACCTCCAGCACCTCCAAACCATCAGATCTATTCTGATGAATAAGAAAAGAATAAGTTAAGAAATAAGTTAAGAAAAGTTAAGAAAAGACCAGGACAGTATGGAAAAATAGTCATGATTAAGTGCACTTAAAGACTTCTCTGCTCTCTTCCTGCCACCAGATTTGGCACAGGAGCAAGTCAACAGCAGCACCTCCTTCTCATGTCATCATCAACCATTTACCACGGGAAGTTTCAAATAAATACCCAAATAAATTCTTTTTTTGTTGTTAAAAACTCCCTTAGGGAAGCAAATCTGGTCCCTCCTCTTTCAAGAAAACGTGCAAATGTGCCTTTTTAAATGGGTGGACACAAAAAAAATCCCCTCCACTCCCTTCCCTCAAGCTCCGACACCCCGAAAGCATCCCATAAGAGATGAAGAAATATTTGCAGCCAGTTTCTTTTTAAAATTTAATTTTCACTCCTTTATTTTGCAGGAGGCTGAGAGCAAGAGGTACTTGACGTGTACCACAGAGCAGTGACAGATGCATCCCCAGAACGATGTGTGGTGGTTTTGTAACTCACACAGAATCACACAGAATTGTAGTGGTTGGAAGGGACCTCAGAGATCATCGAGTCCAACCACCAAAAAAAAAAACCCACAACTACAGTTGTACAGCTGGTATCACACCTTGCATTAGTCCTAATATTAACTGGGGCAAAGATTTTGAGTGGTTTTTCTCCCTCTTATATCTGTAGCCAGTTCTGAGATCTGCTTTCCATAAGGGTAGAAGTCAGAACTCCACCTGGATGAGACTGCTGAGTACCAGTTCCTCACTGGTTCCACGCTGAAAGTGCGGGTAATCCCTCAGCCTCTCCTCGTAAGACTTGTGCTCCAGACCCCTCACCAGCTTCGTTGCCCTTCTCTGGACCCGTTCCAGCACCTCAATGTCCCTCTTGTGGTAGGGGGCCCAAAATTGGACACAGTACTCGAGGTGGGGCCTCACCAGTGCCGAGTACAGGGGGACGATCACCTCTCGGGCCCTACTCCCCACACTGTTCTTGATACAGGCCAGGATGCTGGTGGCCTTCTTGGCCACCTGGGCACACTGCTGGCTCCTGTTCAGCCGACAGTCGACCAACACCCCCAGGTCCTTTTCTGCCAGGCAGCTCCAGCCACTCTGCCCCCAGCCTGTAGCGCTGCCTGGGGTTGTTGTGACCGAAGTGCAGGACCTGGCACTTGGCCTTGTTAAACCTCATCCCGTTGGTCTCGGCCCATCGATCCAGCCACAAAATCCTGCCACAAAATCAAAGCTGAAAAGGAGGGTAAAAAATAATAATAGTAATTTTTAAAAAAGCTCAAAACACACATAAGAGTTTCTTTTGTGGCTTGGGATTTTCCCCGGATTGCTATCCTCTCTGTACGTCTCGCCGTCTTGAGTCTCTGCTTTAAAAAACACACACAGCCTCCTGTCACGTCCGACAAATCCTTCGTCACGGCTCAATATCGTTAACTCTGCCGTTCCTCACATCCTTTATTCATCCATCTGGGGATATTATCATCCTCTCCCCTCCATCCCTCCCACTCTCGTCACCTCTCACCATCGCCTGCGGTAAAGGCTGCCACGTAACTGAATTAAAAAGCCCTTTTTAGAGCCTTTATTCCCCCAGTTAAACCAGCCTCCGTCCCGCCGTCCACCAGCGGGACGGGAAAGATCAGCACTTTTTATGGTAGGAAAAAACACGCAGGAAAAACAAATTTGAGAGGGGAGAAGAGTTAAGCTCTTCTAATGCCCTAAGATTTTTTTCCTACCTTCAGATTGACAGCGGATCCTGCTGTTGAGTTCCTCTTTCTCCTGCTTCAGGAGAGCGTTTTCTTCTTCCAGGTCGGATATGCGCTGGGAAAGAAGGGGAAAGAATTATTCCTTGCTGGGGAGGGATTACATTTCACCTGGTCAGAGACAGGGAGCTTTGTTCTGCCTTTCTTTGCCCTTTAAAAGATCTTTTCCTTCATGTTTTGCCAGCTCTCCTTTGTACCTCAGGAGCCAAAGCGTAGGATGACCTGCTCTACAACCGAGTAACTTTGCTTTTCCCGAGCTCGTTTCTCCCCCAAATTTCAGATTTTTAGCAGAATCTTACAAAATACTGAGGGGCTGGATTCGGCCACCACGATCTGCAGGAGAGAGGCTCCCACAAGTGATCAGAGAGGTTCATTTCCACAACAACGGGGGTTTTGCTTTTCCCGAGCTCGTTTCTCCCCCAAATTTCAGATTTTTAGCAGAATCTTACAAAATACTGAGGGGCTGGATTCGGCCACCATGATCTGCAGGAGAGAGGCTCCCACAAGTAATCAGAGAGGTTCATTTCCACAACAATGGAGGTTTTCACATCTCAAGGGGGTTTCCTTCCTATCTTCGAATCTGACTGCTGTTGGGGGAAAAAAATCCACTGAACGTGGTGCTTCAGCACTTAAGGTGGACAAAGTCAATTTAAGCACCATGGAAAATTAATATTAAATAATACAGGCTTTTTTAATTTCATGTTTGTTGTCATGAATTAAGATTATAGTCACTTTAAGGTTTCAACTCTACCGCAGAAGCTCTAGTGATGGACAGGGTGTACCAGGGCCTTTGGGCTCCCCAGTTCCAGAAGGACAGGGAACTGCTGGAGAGGGGACAGCAGAGGGGATACCAAGATGATGAGGGGCCTGGAGCATCTCTCTGCTGAGGAAAGGCTGAGGGACTTGGGTCTTTTGAGTCTGGAGAAGAGAAGGCTGAGGGGGGATCTGATCAAGGCCTGTAAATACTTGAAGGGTGGGTGTCAGGAGGATGGGACCAGGCTTTTTTCAGTGGTGCCCAGGGATAGGACAAGAGGAAATGGGCACAAACTTGACCATAAGAAGTTCCACCTCAACATGAGGAGGAAGTTCTTCACTTTGAGGGTAGCAGGGCCCTGGCAGAGGCTGCCCAGAGAGGTGGTGGAGTCTCCTTCTCTGGAGACATTAAAACCCCGCCTGAACACGTTCCTGTGCAACCTCTGGGTGGACCTTCTCTGGGTGGACCTGCTTTGGCCGGGGGTTGAACTAGATGATCTCCACAGCTCAGAGATGTTCTAGTCCCCTAATCATCTTCTGAGTCCTTTGCTGCACCCTCTCCAGCAGTTCCCTGTCCTTCTTGAACTGGGGGGGGCCCAGAACTGGACCCAGTGCTCCAGCTGTGGCCTCACCAGGGTGGAGTAGAGCGGGAGGATGACCTCCCTCGACCTGCTGGCCACGCTCTTCTTGATGCAGAGAATCATCCTAGCTCATCAATTGAGATGATTAGGTACTACCAAAAGCCCTCAGAAGAGCTGTTGGTACTCACACAGATCTCATGGTTTAAACTTTATCAGAAAATGGAATAAGAAGGGCTATTCTAAAATTAAGGAGTCGGAGAGAAAAGCTGCAAGGAAGAGATTAAAGGACATTTTATCCGTAAGAAAATCATAACTAATATGGATTTGCAGAAGCTGTAGCTCCAGCTCAAGTCGATAAAATTAAGGCTGTCACCTCAGTGTCACTCAGAAGTGTCTGAGGACTTGGGGCATCATCTCTGGAGCGAGCGCATCCCACCACCATGGTGCAATCTCGCTGTTGAAGGTGAAAAGCACTTCTCACACCTAAATTCAGCTTCACAAGGCCCCCCACGCTTTTTGGTAACTATTAGAACTACTCAAAAAATCTCTATCCTAAATTTTCTTGGAAAACAGCGCATCCCACCACCATGGTGCAATCTCGCTGTTGAAGGTGAAAAGCACTTCTCACACCTAAATTCAGCTTCACAAGGCCCCCCACGCTTTTTGGTAGCTATTAGAACTACTCAAAAAATCTCTATCCTAAATTGTCTTGGAAAGCAATTTTCAGGTTTTGTTTCCAGGAAGGAAACGGGTCTTCTCCCATCTTCCCAACGATGAGGAACTGAAGGGAGCAATTGAAAGCTGAGGTTAAAACCAGGAGCCCGTCCTGCTGAGTAGAAATGTTTTATAATTAAAGCATTTATTGTCACGGTAAAGCGCAGGGTATTTGCTCTGCTGGAGGCACTTCTACAACAAGGGCTTTGTTTTCATGCTTTTTAGAAAGCATTTCTTTGGTCATTAAATCAACCTTTCTTCTGAGCGCCGGAAGGGGATTTTGCAATCAAGAACAAAGAGAAGCAGCTTCTCCCCAGCTGCATCACCTTCAAAATAAAACATCATTTGAGGCTCTAAAAACCAAAAAGGATCTTCTCGTTTGGTGTTGGAGGGGAGAAAATCACTGACTCCATACGTCCCATTGCAGTTACGTTGGAGTAACTGCTTTTCTGACACCTCTTGGTCCAGCCAAGAGACAACACACGTAGAGGTTGAACGATCTTTTGAGAAACACACCCCAAAACACATTTCAGATGTTCAGATGAAGTTATCCTGTCCACAAGGTCCCCGCATCTACTCACCCAAACCCACCATCAGGGCTTACCCACAAGGGGAGGTTGCCCAGGGCAAGTGCTGTTGAGGGAAGTTCCTTAGAAGAGCCCCATCTGGGCGTTTTTCCACCATAATTAAAACACAGCTAATTCCAGACCTCTTTTTTCCCCATCTCCAAAAGCCACTCAACTTCACGTCGTCACACAAAAAAGGACTTTTCTAGAGGAACAGTTGCAAAACAGACTTTCCTTTGTGTTGAGCAGAAAAGCCCTAAGTTCTTTCCAACAGAAGGATCAAAGAAACAACTTCAACTCCTGGTGCAGCAGAAAAAAGATCACGGATTTAATCTGAGCAGTCACAAACTTTGGCAGCAGGAAACCAAACCCATACCTTAGCGCCTTAGGTTGAAAGCTATTTAGAATGAACCTGACTAGTGAAGAAATTCAGATTAAAATATCCATGGTTATTAAGTGCCCTTATTTCACAGGGGTTGGGGTTTGGGGAGTTTCTTGATGGTTGGCAGCTCAAAAGGCATCAAGATGGGGCATTCTCCTCACACGAGGGAGTTGACGCTCCTATAGAGACGTCCACCTGCCCTTGCTGCCCCGTGATCTGGTTAAAAGGCAAATTCTAGGGGCATTGAGTGATAAAAATAATTAAAAAATCATAATTATAAAATAGATATTAAGTCTTTTCCCCTTCAAACTCGTGAAGAGTCAGGGAGTGGGGAGACAGGACAAAGGGTAATGGTTTTTAACTGGAAGAGGGGAGATTTGGATGAGATGTGGGGAAGAACTTCTTTGGTGTGAGGGTGGTGAGAGCCTGGCCCAGGTTGCCCAGAGAAGCTGGGGCTGCCCCATCCCTGGAGGGGTTCAAGGCCAGGTTGGATGGGGCTTGGAGCAACCTGGTCTGGTGGGATGTGTCCCTACCCAGGGCAGGGGGTTGGAACTGGATGACCTTTAAGGTCCCTTCCAACCCAAAATCCTTCTGTGAAAAGTCAGCTTGCACCAGCATGACCACCTAGACAACATGAGATGTGACAAACACACCTACCTTTCTCAGCAGGTCTTTCTCCTTGACGTAACTGTCTTCCACAACCTTCCTCTCACCATGAGCTTTCTCAAGCTCCAGCCGGAGATGCTCCATCTCTTCTTGCAAGCTGACGAGCTGGTTGCCGTCACCCCGCTGGTTCTGCTGGTATTGAACCAGTTCCTTCTTCAGCTTTTCTACCTCGGAGGAGTGGGCTGAGGCGAGCGTAGAGAGCTGCTCGTTCAGGAGTTTGTATTCCTTGTTCTGCAGCCAACAGCCAAAAAAAAAGAAAAGAAGACCATAAGCAAGAAGCTTACAAAAGTAACCATCAAAAATCCTTGAGCAGGAACAAAACTGGGATAACAAACATTTCCATGCATATGCTAATAAAGCTCCTCAAGCTAAAGCCAATTTCAAAATGGTGACAAAAGCTCGATAATATTTTGGGAATGATTCTACAAGCATTTGTAAAATTGATGTTACAGCTGAAGCAAAGCAAGCCCTGGCAACCAAACCAAAAAAAATCTAACACTTTTATTACAGCTTCCAAACAATGTTGCTTAATGCAATATTTTTTTAAGTTTGCAATATTGGGTTTGCAGTTTATCCTTTTATTCCTGACTCCTAGGCCTGCAGGAACCTGGGAGGACACCAAGTTGGGTGGGAGCGTCGACCTCCTGGAGAGTAAAAAGGCTTTGCAGAGGGATCTGGACAAGCTGGATGGATGGGCCTAGGCCAGTGGGATGAGATTGTTTTCTCTTTATTTTTCCACCCCTACACTTTTCCTAGCAGTAAATGGCAAGGAATTAAAAAAAATAATAATATTAATAAAATTAATACTGTTGCTCCACAAGCCAAGTCCAGAAGCTCAGCAACCTTAATGGAGAGGGGACAGCAGAGGGCTACAAAGATGGTCAAGGGACTGGAGCATCTCTCTGATGAGGAAAGGCTGAGGGACTTCTTGGGTCTTTAGAGTGTGGAGAAGAGAAGACTGAGGGGGGATCTGATCAAGGCCTATAAAGACTTGAAGGGTGGGCGTCAGGAGGATGGGGCCAGGCTTTTTTCAGTGGTGCCCAGGGACAGGACAAGAGGAAACGGGCACAAACTTGACCATAAGAAGTTCCATCTCAACATGAGGAGGAACTTCTTTCCTGTGAGGGTGGCAGAGCCCTGGCAGAGGCTGCCCAGAGAGGTGGTGGAGTCTCCTTCTCTGGAGACATTCCGACCCCTCCTGGACACATTCCTGTGGGACCTGCTCTGGGTGGACCTGTTTTGGCAGGGGGTTGGACTAGATGATCTCCAGAGGTCCCTTCCAACCCCATATCATTCTGTGATTCTGTGATGCAGATGTTCATGCTCATCACACAAACCCAGCCTAAATACGTGGACCTGAAACAACTCCTAATTAATTCCACTAAATACCCTCCAGATGAGGGCCAGCCGTATCAAACAGCTTTCTGATAGACTCATAAAGAACCTCATGCCTACAATTTTCCCCTCCTAATCTAGAGTTTGTCTGTAAAACCTAAATGAGTTTAATTTTCCAATTAAACACCAGGGTTTAGGCATCAGACTGCGCCGCGCTGCACGCTTTGCAGCCAATTAAAAAGTGAAAGTGGCCAGGGGTGACTTAAATCCCCGGGTGTCTTGACTCTGCAGTGTCTGAGCCAACACGGAGTCGTTTCTCATCATCTTCACAGCAGGAACCTCTGGTGTCGTATGGGGACGAGAGAGATTTAAGGTGACGAGGAAACCAAGGGTGATGTGTAAAGGACAACAGCCGAAATGCAACGATAAACTGCAATAATTAATAAATGCTACTATAAATATAAAGGTATCCTTAATTAAAGAGAATATTTATCCTTATCATAAAATGGTTTTTTTAAGGATATAGGTGGATATGAAGTTCTCAATTAATATTAGTGGATACAATCAAGCCCTACTCAGCATTTCTTATCCTTGAAGACCTTGTAGAGCACCAGGAAGCAACACAGAGGGTATTTATGGGATTAATTTGCAAAGTCTCAGGTTGGTAGGTGGGAAAACCCTCCTAAGTGTGTAATCAATTATTCTGCAGCTCATTAATGACAAGTGGCATTTGACGAAGGCCCTTCTGTAATCAAGTTGTCACAATAAGACCATCAAGCCATCCATCCATCGCTTACATCGCGCCACCTCACCCCTCGTGGTGGCTCCTCCTTCTGAGCAGTGGTTACCTCTAATAACACAAACGTGCTCAAACTACTTTGCCAAGTGGATATTTACCCAATTCACCCTTAATTTTCCAGGTGATGTGACTCACAGGATCTATGGTTTAGTAACAGCCAAAGTCTGTTTGACATCAGGATCTCACATGGAGCTGGACCGGCTTTTCAAGCAAGAGCTTTCAGAATTGTCCCATTTTATCTTCCTCCTCCTCATCCTTCTGGGCAGTTCTCATGATTACAACACAGTTTTTGGAGCTTACTGAGCAAGCTCTTCAGTGGAGACCCAAGATCCAAGTGCATCTGTACTTCCATGGTGGTGTCCCACCCTTACAAGAAGGTTGCCACCACCACGTCATCATAGAATGGTCAGAGTTGGAAGGGACCTTAAAGATCATCCAGTTCCAACTCCCCTGCCCTGGGCAGGGACACCTCCCATCAGACCAGGTGGCTCAAAGCCCCATCCAACCTGGTCCTTCCCAGTCATCATGGGAAGATAAAAGCCTTCCAAGGAAGGACAGCACAAAAGAGGCAAAGCAGAAGCAGGACCACACTTGTCCCACCACAACCCGGGACGTACCTGCTCATCGATCTTCCTTTGGAGCTGGACCACCTTGTTCTCCATGCCAATGTTGAGCTTCTTCAGGTGCTGGGCTGAGCGGGCCTCGATCTTCAGCGCCTTCAGCTCCTGCCTGGCCTTCATGCGCCGGTAGTAGCACTGCAGGACGATGGTGGCACCCCTGACCCGGCGGAAGCGGGTGCGGGCCAGCCAACCACGGGCATATTTCTGGAGGATGGTGGCTTTGTGCTCCGCAAGGATCTGTAAAACACGGGCAGAAATGTGACAATCAGGGGGGAAAAGTCACCTGTAAAAGTGGCAGAAGCCCCAATTTTGTTGTAACACTCAACACTTCCCAATCTGCCTTCAAAAGGGCTTCTCCTCCAAGGAGGAAATGGTACCGTATCTTCTCTGAATTGAGAAGAAAAGGATTGTGTTGATGCAGTAGGAGTTACTCTGAAATAAGCTTTGTACATCTCCAATCTTGGCACTCTTATGGATGGAGAAAGCTGAGGGCACCCAAAGTCCTAGAAGAAACCCTACTGCATCACCCTGTTCCAGCCTTACAGTGAAGTCCTGGTGGACATTGGGCATGTCCTGACCCCAGGGAGCATCCCCTACAGCTCCGCATCTGTTGCTGAGCCTACACTTGAACTGACACCTCCATCCAACTCCTTTATCCAGGTGCTCCAGAGATGAAGGATGAGGCCTGAACTTCTACACCCTCTTAAGATGTTGGGTTGTCTTGGATCTCAGAGAGTTTAAAGGCTGTCTCCCTTGAAGGGGCTTCTGATTTTAAAAAATAGACACCAAAAAAGCAGCGGTAGCACAAATTCCTGATCACCAGCATCCAGCTGCTCTGTTTTGGAGGACATCCCTGATCTCTCTGGTGGGTGTCCAGGTAACCTCCATCATCTCCAGGAGCAGGCTCATCATGCCTCTGACTTGTTCGAATACCCCCGGTCGACAACAATTAGGAATAAATTTAGGTGACTACCAAAGTAAGGCCAGACCTGAGGAGTGGACAGAAGATCCCTCAAAACTGGTCTCAGTTTCCCAACATACAATTTAATAAAATCATAGAATGGTTTGGGTTGGAGGAGACCTTAAAGAAAATCGAGTTCCAACCCTGCCCTGTCAGTTTCCCAACATACAATTTAATAAAATCATAGAATGGTTTGGGTTGGAGGAGACCTTAAAGATCATTGAGTTCCAACCTCCCCCGGCCATGGGACTTCTCACTGTATCACTTGTTGTCATCAAACCTTTACGTCTTCGCTTTCAGCTCCCGGTTTAACACAGAAAGCTAATGGAGAGAAACTAATTAAAGAGGGATTTATATCAATAAATGACTCAGTGTCTTCCCTGACAGACCCCACCAGTTTTCCTGCCGGGCTGGAAACGGCACCTGCAGCAGGGCTCAGACACAAATTCCCTTTGCCAGGGAGGGTTTGCAGAGCTTGGGTTACATCAAATGACATTTCCAGATTTCCATGATGCCTCCCGGCCTCCAAATGACTAACTTGATTTAGCTCCTCTGCTGAGGTGCTGCTGCCAAAATTCATTTTGTGCTTGCACAGCTTTAAATGGCAATGCTTGCTGTCAACACATGTTCTCCAGAAACACCAGAGGTGGTCACAGAATCACAGAATGCTATGGGGTTGGAAGGGACCTCTGGAGATCATCTAGTCCAACAGGTCCACCCAGAGCAGGTTGCACAGGAACGTGTCCTATGAGGGTTTTGAATGTCTCCAGAGATGGAGACTCCACCACCTCTCAGGGCAGCCTCTGCCAGGGCTCTGCCACCCTCAAAGTGAAGAAGTTCCTCCTCATGTTTAGGTGGAGCTTCTTACGTTCAAGTTTGTGCCCATTCCCTCTTGTCCTATCCCTGGCCATCACTGGTCGGCTCCATAAAACATCCAAACGGGCCACAATAACTACAGAGAATAAATAGAAAGGTTCTTCCAACTCTTTTCTAACGCGAAGACGCTGTGTGGAGTCATACCTTGCGATAAGTCCTCCTGACAAACATGCCCCGAGCAAAAGCCTGGATGGTGACGGTTGCGTTGCGGACCCTCTGGAAAGCTCGGAGGATCCGTAGCATCCGGTACTGCTTTTGGAAGATGATGGCAGCTCTCGTCCTCCTCAGGTGCTCAGCAAGCCTGCAAAGCAGAGGAGAAAGGTGAGCAGTCAAACTAAATCCCTCTTTTTTTCATCATAATAAGTTTTAAGCTGGACAGAGAGAAAAATCTTTTCTCCAAAGGTAGTTTGATGGCCTTCAAGAAGGACCACCCCAGCAGTAGGGTTAAGAAGAAGAGCACAACTCTGTTAAAATAATGGGAACACAAAGGCAATCAGACAGCATCCATAGCACCCTGGAGCAGTAATCAACCCACCTCGTTATTCCTAAATGGCATTAAAACCAAATATTTCCCATTTTTTTCCTTGGTTCAAACTCATTACCTTCTGTAGTTGAGCCAATCAACGCCTGAGGTGGGCTCCATCGCTTCCTTCACTCTAAGAAGCGAAGCGTGGTGGCACGGGGGATCTCCTGACTCGGAGGAAAAGGGGCAGCAAATTGATTTGACATTTAAACCGGCGTGCACTGGTTTGGCAACGTTCAGGAGCAGAGCCCCCAGCAATTCATGGAGAAGTAAATAACGAGGGATGTGATGGACTCCCCGCCACGTTGCTCCATTTCTCCTCAATTTGCTGTTACGCCCATAAAACCCCCCTCTAATTTGATAATTAGCTTGTTTTGCTGTGTTTACGATTCGTTTATTGCTCTCGGCGTGAAGCATTATACAGATAGTTGATCCCCTTCTTTATTTTGTGAAAAGCACATCCAAACTAAAAGAGCTTCTCTTCGTCAAGGCCAGTGGTTTCTCATTAGGACCCACTGAACCAGAGCTTATTAAAGGGGACAAGGGATGGTCCACTCCTGAAGAGGGAAGAAAGGATTTATTCAGGTGACATCCATCCCTAGGAAACCAGCACAAGGAGGTGAACTGGAAAATCACGTTGAAGAAACGCTGCAGCAGGTGGTTTCTCCTGCTTCCAGCCCCTCCTTGAGCTCATAGTCTCTTGGACATCACCAAAGCTTCCTCCTCCCCTCCTCAGAGGGATGTTTGGCTGATGCAAAGTCAAATATAGACTCCAAGGCTGTAGATGTGCATGGAGAGCCCACCAGAGAGGCTAAAATAATCACAGACTCCCCCTTTTTCTTAATCTACTTTGTTGAGTTCTGGGCCTCCCAATTCAAGAAGGACATGGAACTGCTGGAGAGGATCCAGTGGAGGAGCAAAGATGATCAAGGGACTGGAGCATCTCTCTGATGAAAAAAGGCTGAGAGACCTGGGCCTGTTCAGCTGGAGAAAAGAAGGCTGAGAGGGGACCTCATCAATACTGAGCAATATCTAAAGGGTGGGTGGCAAGAGGATGGGGCCAGACTCTTCTCAGTGGTGCCCGCTGACAGGACAAGAGGAAATTTGGAAAATTCCATCTCAACTTGAGGAGAAACTTCTTCAATTTGAGGGTGGCAGAGCCCTGGAAGAAGCTGCCCAGAGAGGTGATGGAGTCTCCTTCTCTGGAGACATTCAAAACCCCACCTAGATGGGTTCTATCCAACCTGCTCTGGGTGGACCTGCTCTGGCAGGGGGTTGAACTAGATGATCTCCAGAGGTCCCTTCCTATGCCTATGATTCTGTGATTCCTCTTGTTGCTTGGGTCTCATTTGCCTTGTCTCCAATTAAGCTGTGAGATTGGTGAGAGGGACCTGTAGCCATGAGCCAAGAGAAGGACATGAACCTCCGAGGACAAGAAAAATCTGTGCTGAGTTTTAAATAAAAGTCACCAAATTCCCCAGCTTTGCTCATTTGAGCCCTTCTCATCCCTGGATTCTCCATTTTGTCAATCCCTTTCACCAAAACCAAATAATACCACAAATTCAGTTAGCATCTCACGTTCTTCCAAAATACAGTAGGATTTAGAGGAAATCCTTGGAAGGAACATGGAAGTTCTTCACCTTCTGTTGCTCCAATAATTGATAGAAATCAACATTCCTCCAGAAATCCAGAGAGAAGTGGTGACTGTTCAGGAGCCTTGTAGCACACATGAAGCATTTCACGTTGCCCAAGGGCAAGCAGTGTTAATTGGGCTGCAGATTAGGGAGCAGCACTTCTGATGGGGTGACTGTTCAGGAGCCTTGTAGCACATAGGAAGCATCTCACGTTGCCCAAGGGCAAGCAGAGTTAATTAGGCTGCAGATTAGGGAGCAGCACTTTTGATGTGCAGATCCTAATTTGGAATCAGGGAGAACATTGCTGCTCCAAATCCAACAATGAGCTAACCCACCACAGCTTCTCTAAGAGAATAAGAAGGGAAACAAAGCTGAAAGGACCCAAATCTACTCTTTATTCCTATCTGCAAGTGCCTGAAGCCAGCTTGGCCAGATCATAGAATCACAGAATGGTTTGGGTTGGAAGGGACCTTAAAGATCATCCAGTTCCAACCCCCTGTCCTGGGCAGGGACACCTCCCACCACACCAGGTTGCTCCAAGCCCCATCCAACCTGGCCTTGAACCCCTCCAGGGATGGGGCAGCCACAGCTTCTTGGGGCAACCTGAGCCAGGCTCTCACCACCCTCACACCAAAGAAGTTCTTCCCCAGATTCTATGATTTGCAGTGATTTTTCTCATCACAAAGAATACAGTAAATCAACTCTAAGAACTCCCCTGTGGACACCAAGGAGACACAAAGCTGGCCCCTGCCAAAGAGGAGAACATACCAACCAGCAAAGCCCTCACTGGCCGATCCAAACGCCCTTGGCCAGAGGTAGAGCTGGAAAAAATATTACTTCTGCAAAACACTTTCAGCTAAATATCTCAGAGTATTTTAGTCACCCAATTACAGCTGAGCTGCCTGAATCAGCACCTAGAAATTAAATCAATAGAGACACGACATCAGTTGGAGGCAAAGAGTTTTGATCTCTCGCCCTCGAATAAAGGTGGGGAGAGGGGCCAGGAATAAGTAGAATCATAGAATTGTTTGGGTTGGAAGAGGCCTTTTAGATAATCAAGTCCAACCATCAACCTAACAGTGATAAAACCACCACTAACTATGTCCCTCAGCACCACGTCTGCCCAGTTTTTAAATACCTCCAGGGATGGTGACTCCACCACTGCCCTGGGCAGCTCTTCCAAGGCTTGACAACCCTTTCCATGAAGAAATTTTTCCCAATATCCATCCTAAACCTCCCCTGGTGCAACTTGAGGCCGTTTCCTCTTGTCCCATCACCTGTTCCTTGGGAGAAGAGACACCCGAGAGCGAGTCCTAACTTGAGCATGGAAACTTTCACAACAATATGGGTCTTGTTTTCACCAGGCTGAAAGCCAACACCCCACCCAGAGCATTTCCACTGTTTCTCCTGCGAAACCCCCAACTTTAAGGTCTACAGGATGGAACAGATGGAGAACACGAGCGCCCAAAAGTGGTTTCCCACTTGACCTCCCAGTTAGCCCTTCCTGGGAGGGCTTCCCAGCACCCACCTCCGCGCCAGGTGCCCACGCGTGTAACGCTGGACCACGATGGCAGCTCTTCTCAACCTTTTGTACTTGACCCTCTGTAGCCAGCCCCGCACCGTCTTCTGAATCATGATGGTGGCAGCTCTGAACTTATCTGCTCGTAGTTTCTCCAGATATGCCACCTGGCCTGCACGGAAAAAGATCTTGGTACGTCCAAACTGGAACTTGTCTGGATCCTTTTCAAAAGCATAAAGGAAACTAAATTTAATTAAGGCAAACATTTATTTATTTATTTATTTCAGTCTATCTTGCTCGTACACACAGATTAAAAAACCCACTTTAAATCAAATTGATCAGCTCAGCTCTACATCTCTTATTAATTGGGTGGTGAAGATATTATGAAATTCCAAACTAATTAAGCTTCTATATCCCCATTGAGGAAGGCAGCACCAGGATTCGGTCTTAAGTTTCATATATTTATACAACTTTTTAACGGTTTGGGGTTTTTTTGGTTGGTTGGTTGGTTTTTAAGGTTAAATAGAGCAAAGCAAGGCCAGAGGACTTCAAGAAAAGACTTCTTGCTTCAGAAGATCAATGCTTCTGCAAGTGGCTCTGCAGCCAAGACTTGGTGCATAAGGAGGATGGGCTTTTGCAGAGAGGAGCCCCATGGAGTCAATCCCTCAAAACCCCACAAGGAAAACAAAGGATCAAACATTACAACCTGGCTCAAATGCTGTTTTGGGCTACTCAACAGCAAGAAAACAAGAAGAATCTTTTGCGTGCCCAGTTGGGACTTAAAAATAACACACATGAATTTGAGTAGTAAGATTTTGGTGAGGAGAGGAGACAAAGACTCCTTATTTCCTTAAGGAGAAAAATGTTCCAATCTCTGGGATGCTTTTTCTACATATTGGTGGCCAAGAAAAGTCTCCCACACGTCAAGATAGGGCCATTATTGCATTTTTCTCCTATTTGTGCAAAGAGACATTTAATGATGGGGTAACAGAACCAACTTTGACTAAGGTTCCTACACAGGTGAAGTAGGAGCAAGGAGAGTAATTCAAACCCTATCGAAGCCAGGAGCTTCCGTGCTGTAAAACAAATCACTGCCAACAATATGGTCCCAGCTCACCTTAATGAGGTCTTCCAACAGGGTCTGACAGATCTGCTTCTTGTCGTTCTTAGAGAGGTCTCTCTTTTTCATGAGAACGCGGTATCTGTTGAAGAAGTCGTGGTAGGACCATCTGAAAGCAAAGCACGCACAGGATCAGCCTCCAGGTCAGGGATAATTTCCTTAAAATAAAGCATTTGGAGTCATAGATGAGTCAAAATATGGAACTCATAGACTGAGGGATCTCTCATGGTGGATTGAGGCCACCCAGAAGGAGCTTGGTCACCCCAAACCTGACCCCCAGTCTCCCCCATCCCCTGCCACCGAAGGTCCTTATTTCTAGCCTGGAACTGGAAGGCCACAGAGCATCATGTCTTCACTCCTCCTGATGGGCTTCCCAAGCTGCTGCATCTTACCAGTTCCATGCAGAAACTTTATTCCCTTTGGAAATAATATACTAATTTTGAAGAGATCACAGATCCCTTGATTTGGCCAAAAAAACCCAACAAAAATCCATCTTGATAAGACGATAGGCAAACAATCAAATAGAAACTCTTCCTCGTTACGCTCTTCCAAACTCTGTGGAATATGGATTTGAAGGGATTCATTCATTCATCTCTGTGGCCGAGACCCTTAAAATGAACACAGAATCTTTGGACTCTGAAAGGACAAAGGAGCCACTTGGATGTCACCAAGGAGTGAAGTTTCCAAACACGCAACACTAATCGAAGGAATTAGAGCCCTGTATCCTACTGCTGGGAAAAATCATCTCCTGCCACCGTTGGATCCTGCCATCAGTTCAGCATCTGCCAAGTTTCAGCCTTCCCCAAATTAACACAGTGAATTATGGACCCCTCAAAACCCGAGATTTTAATTAAAACACCAGGCGTTTCCAGCGCTGTCAAGTAGCTGGAAGTCGTTATTTCACAAAAACATGCAGAACAAACATCAAAGGGAGTCGGGAGAGAATTGCAGAGATTTTGATTTCTGCCCTCGCTCAACGAAACCATCTGTGAGCCTGATCCCCATCCCACCTCCTCCTCCACCCCGCAGCCCCATGTCCACCTTCATATTTTGAGTGCTGTTCCTCAGGGGTCCGTACTGGGACATCTTTGTTCAACAACTTTGTTGGAGACATGGACAATGGGATCGAGTGCACCTCAGCAAGTTCTCCCTCAACACCAAGCTGTGTGGTGTGGTTGACACGCTGGAGGGAAGGGATGCCATCCAGAGGGACCTGGCCAGGCTTGAGAGGTGGGACCGTGCAAACCTCATGAAGTTCAATCAAACCAAGTGCACGGTCTTGCACATGGGACATGGCAATCCCAAGCACAAATCCAGGCTGGGCAGAGAATGGCTGGAGAGCAGCCCTGAGGAGAAGGACTTGGGGGTGTTGGTGGATGAGAAGCTCAACATGAGCTGGCAATGTGCACTGGCAGCCCAGAAAGCCAACTGCATCCTGGGATGTACCAAAAGAAGCGTGACCAGCAGGTCACAGGAGGTGATTCTACCCCTCTGCTCTGCTCTCATGAGACCCCACCTGGAGTGCTGTGTCCAGCTCTGGAGTCCTCAGCACAGGAAGGACATGGACCTGTTGGAACAGGTCCAGCGGAGGGCCACAAAAATGCTCAGAGGGCTGGAGCACCTCTCCTACAAAGACAGGCTGAGAGAGTTGGGGGGGTTCAGCCTGGAGAAGAGAAGGCTCCAGGGAGACCTTAGAGCCCCTTCCAGTCTCTCAAGGGGCTCCAGGAAAGCTGGGGAGGGACTCTGGATCAGGGAGGGGAGCCATAGGAAGAGGGGGAAGGGTTTGACACTGAAAGAGGGGAGATTGAGATGAGATGTGGGGAAGAACTTCTTTGGTGTGAGGGTGGTGAGAGCCTCATCCAGGTTGGCCAGAGAAGCTGTGGCTGCCCCATCCCTTGAAAGGCCAGGTTGGAGGGGGCTTGGAGCAACCTGGTCTGGTGGGAGGTGTCCCTGCTCATGGTAGGGAAAAAAAAACCCCAAATATCTACCACAGGGAGCTCTCTGTGGGTTGAGATACGTCAAAACTGAACTCAAAGACCATGGGGTTGTGGCATGTAGGGTTCAAGCCTAAACTCACTTTCTTTTTGCTTCCCAAATGCCTCAGTTTTATAATTCCATTTCCTATTTTGTACCTTAATCCTTTTGCTCTGTGCGAATAAAACCCGTTTTCATTTTAAGCGCATCTCAGAAAGCAGTAAAATCCATCACCTCCCCGCACCGGGAGAGAGATGAAGATCCCACAGATGAAGAATCAGATACCTACAAAAATCCCTTCAAAACAGATCATAAATCACTGTAAAAAGGATCTGTCTTCAGAGCCTGTTGCTCTATGGGGGGGTAAAATTCGATTTTCCACATTGTTTCCGTTTCAGCCCATTTTTAACATAAATAATTCATTATTTATGATTAAGCCTCATAAGAAATTATGGGAAGTGGCAAGGAATATGCTCCCTGATGGCCATCAGGGTGTTTTGTTGGGCTGGTGGCATCCGTAATCCTCTACCTCCACTTTATCTACATCTCCCAGGGGTTCACAACCCAAATGTTCAACCTCCACCGCCCAACATCGTTTCGCCCTTGCTGTAACGAAGTCGCTCTCGCCTAACATAAATAATTCATTATTTATGATTAAGCCTCATATGAAATTATGGGTAGTGGCAAGGAATACGCTCCCTGATGGCCATCGGGGTGTTTTGTTGAGCTGGTGGCATCCATAATCCTCTACCTCCCCTTTATCCATATCTCCCAGGGGTTCACAACTCAAATGTTCAACCTCCACTGCCCAACATCGTTTCGCCCTTGCTGTAACGAGGTCGCTCTCGCCACCCTCGCTGATTTAACAGGAGGTGACACTCCTGAGATCACCCTGCTTTGGTTTCTCATCCGTGGAATATCGAGACAAAAGCTCTGCCACGTTGGGGCCAGCAGGAATATCTTCAGTCCCGGTTCACACGGCAAATAAAGCTGCAGGGGGTCAGAGGTGCTGTCACAGGATCTCCCCCCAAGGAGAAAATCGCCCTTGCTGTAACGAAGTCGCTCTCGCCACCCTCGCTGATTTAACAGGAGGTGACACTCCTGAGATCACCCTGCTTTGGTTTCTCATCCGTGGAATATCGAGACAAAAGCTCTGCCACGCTGGGGCCAGCAGGAATATCTTCAGTCCTGGTTCACACGGCAAATAAAGCTGCAGGGGTTCAGAGGGGCTGTTACAGGATCTCCCCCCGAGGAGAAAGGAACAATTAAAGCTCTCAGGTTTAATGTGACGTGTCTGGTTCAACCACTTCAGGCTGAAAGTGGTATAAAATTACCTTACAAAGTTGTCCTTTGAGAGAAACAACCACGATGCCTCAACCCTACAAAGGAGATCTCTCCGGTGCAGAAATAGTGAAGCTCAATGGTTTGGTGCATACACACTGGTTTTTATTCTTTCACATCTATGTATAACTAGGTGGGAGTGTTGATCTGCTTGAGGGTTGGAAGGCTCCCCAGAGGGACCTGGACAGGTTGGATCAATGGGCCAAGGCCAATGGGATGAGGTTCAACAAGGCCAAGTGTCGGGTCCTCCATTTTGGTCACAACAACCCCAGGCAACGCTAAAAGCTGGGGGCAGAGTGGCTGGAAAGCTGCCCAGCAGAAAAGGACCTGGGGGTGTTGGTGGACAGCTGGCTGAACATGAGCCAGCAGTGTGCCCAGGTGGCCAAGAAGGCCACCAGCATCCTGGCCTGTATCAGGAACAGCGTGGCCAGCAGGAGCAGGGCAGTGATGGTGCCTCTGGACTAGGCCCTGGTGAGGCCTCGCCTTGAGTACTGTGTTCAGTTCTGGGTCCCTCACTACAAGAAGGACATTGAGGTGCTGGAGCATGTCCAGAGGAGAGCCACCAAGCTGGTGAGGGGTCTGGAGAACAAGTCCTATGAGGAGAGGCTGAGGGAACTGGGCATGTTTAGTTTGGAGAAGAGGAGGTTGAGGGGAGACCTCATTGCCCTCTACAACTCCCTGAAAGGAGGGTGTAGAGAGGTGGGGATTGGCCTCTTCTCCCAAGGGAATAATGACAGGAGCAGAGGAAATGGTCTGAAGTTGCGGTAGGGGAGGTTTAGATCAGATATTAGGAAGAATGACTTTCCTGAGAGGGTGGTCAGGCACTGGAGGAGCCTGCCCAGGGAGGTGGTGGAGTCATCATCTGTGGAGGTATTTAAGAAACCTGTAGACATGGCACTTCAGGGCGTGCTCTAGTGCCCAGGATTGTTGGGTTGTATCTATTTGTTTCATCCATTTCATCCATAACAACTCTTATTTATAATAAGAGTATTTCGAAGAGCCACCAATGACAACGATACTAAGAGCTACTGGGAGACCACTGCCTGGAAACCACCAGAACCAGCAAGAAGAAAACACGTAGAGTTTTGACAAAATACAAGTGAAAAAACTTGTTTTAAAGAGTATTTTGTTACTAATGGAGATCTGCCCTAATTAATTCTCTCTTTAGGTAGCCAGTTTCTCCGAAGATGATGAATGGTTTTATAGTACAGAGACGTTTTCCATGCTTTACCCGCAGAGGTTGGTGATAGATTTATTATCTCCTCATCTCAGCCAGTCCATTCATCACCGTCATTTATGTACATTATAAATACATTTCTTAACGGCCCCGTAACGTTTCCAACCAAATGAGATGTTTTCAATTTACTTGAGAGAGCTGCAGAGCGCAGCGGAGCAGGGAAATGATAAAATAAAGCCGGGCGTACCCAAAATGGGGAGCACGAGGCTTCATCTATCAGTGGAAAAGCATCGTGTCCTACACGATACAACACTAAAAACTCTATTAAAACTCCTTCTTTTTCTTAAAGGAATGAAATAAAAACATTGATGGAATCCTCTAAACATTCAGTTTTTCAACGTATAAAGTAACCGCGACGGAGAAAGGTGAAATAAGAGCAGAAGGTGGCTTTATCCAGGGATCTTTGACCCAAAGCCTCATCACTCTCATGAAAATTTACTGGAAAATATTCCGATGTAAATACTAAAAAATGAAAATAACCATTTTCTCCTGTTTCTGTGTTAAAACTTCCCTTGAGATAAAACATGTTGAAAATCCCCCCTTGCTCTAAAAGTCAATTTCTTCCACCCCAAGTGAAGCAAAACCCACCAAAGATCAAGTTTTCCATTATTATTTTCAGAGGTTTAAATTTCTAGCCTTCACAGGGGGTTTAAATTTAAAGCCACCACCCTCCTTTTGGGTTTTATCCTTGATCAACCATTCTAGTCCAATTTATCTCAAAATATATGAAAATAGAGAGGAATAATCAACACTCATCATGATGAAAACCGAGACAGACCGCACGGATGTAAAAAGGCAGAAAGAAGTGAAATGTCTATTATATTTCCCACAAAATAAGATCCTGTGGAAGCAGCTTTTGCCAAATGGACTTATAAAGTCAATTCAAATATATATATTATTCACACTTTTTCAATGATGTCGCCCAGCTCCTGGGTCCGGATTTTCAAGACTGGAATTTTATGACCATTTTCACAACCAGAACCCAAAGTGAACATCTTATTTTACTCAGAGTCCTTGCTGGGTACAATAATCTTCTAGAAACATTCAAATAAACACATATCTGCCCTTGAAGAAGCCCAAACACTGAACTGGAGAAGGTCACACTAAAAGGCTGAAATAGCTATTTACACCCTTTTTTATTTTTTTTTTCTTCCCCCTGGAGGAAGAGGAAAAGCTGACAAGTTGAAGTGATGGAAGAGTTTTGTATTTTTAGTGTCCTGGGAAAACAAATAAATAAATCTCAGAACCAAAAGGACATAAGCAGAGCCAAAAGCATCCCTTTATGAGTTTTTGGAGGATGGAGCGATCTTTGCACCGGTGAATTATTTACCAGAAATAGGGCTCGGCCGGTCTCCAAGTGTTGCAGTGGTTTCTCCCCTCCTCAGTTACAGAATCCCAAAATGATATGGGGTTGGAAGGGACCTCTGGAGATCATCTAATCCAAACCCCCCTGACAAAGCAGGGCCACCCAGAGCAGGTCCCACAGGAATGTGTCCAGGCAGGGTTGGAATGTCTCCAGAGAAGGAGACTCCACCACCTCTCTGGGCAGCCTCTGCCAGGGCTCTGCCACCCTCAAAGGAAGGAAGTTCCTCCTCATGTACAGGTGGAACTTCTTATGGTCAAGTTTGTGCCCATTTCCTCCTGTCCTGTCCCTGGGCACCACTGAGAAGAGTCTGGCCCCATCCTCTTGCCACCCTCCCTTTAGATATTGCTCAGCATTGATGAGGTCCCCTCTCAGTCTTCTCTTCTCCGGGCTCAACAGCCCCAGGTCTCAACCTTTCCTCAGCACAGAGATGCTCCAGACCCTGAGCATCTTTGTAGCCTCCACTGGACTCTCTCCAGTAGTTTCCTCTCCTTCTTGAACTGGGGGACCCACAACTAGACACAGTCACTGGCCAACAGAGGTTCTACACGGGCAGAACCATCTCACCTCAACGCACGGAAGCTGCCGTGAATCCTCAGAGGCTCTTTGCAGCTTCGCAGGAGATGAAGGCAACTGGGAAGGGCAGGATGCTCCTCCCCAAAAACCAGTATGGGGAAATTTCTCATGGTGTTCAGCATCACGCTCAGCCGGCTCGTTACTGAGCGTATTTATAACTCCTTTGTTCCATATATAAAGGCTGATGGCTCTGCTGACATTAACACAAAGCCGCTTGGCACTCAAACGCTATTGATGCATTTTTAGAATTATTCGCCCTTGTCATCTTCAGGGCTTATTTATAGTTTATGTTTTCTGATTTAGTGGGCCCTAAAAAACCTCTTTTGAATTTCGGATCGCAATCAGCGAGAGCCACACCACCCACAACCTTTCCTTTTTTAAGAGGCAAGAGTTTGGAGAGTTTCACCCTGCTTTGGACTCGCGGGGTGAAAAGTCCTCAATAATGATTTACAATCCTTATTTTCTTTCTCTGCAAGTATAATAAAAAAATTTTTTGGCTGAAATGACTATTGCAGGAGGTGACTGAAGCCAGGGAAGAAAAGGAAAGCAAAGTGTATAGTGCAAGGAACCTTTCTGCATGAGGAGCTTCAGGCAAGCAGGGAAGGAGTCCTCTAGGGCAAAGGTTGCTTCTACTCTGCTCTCGAAAAGGAAAGCAAAGTGTATAGTGCAAGGAACCTTTCTGCATGAGGAGCTTCAGGCAAGCAGGGAAGGAGTCCTCTAGGGCAATGCTTGCTTCTACTCTGCTGTTGTGATACCCCACCTGGAGGTTCTTCATCCAGTTCTGGAGTCCACAGCACAACAAGGACATGGACCTGTTGGAGCGGGGCCAGAGGAGGCCACAAAGATGCTCTGAGGGCTGGAGCTGTGAGGCTGTGAGGCTCTGCTGTGAGGACAGGCTGAGAGAGTTGGGGGGTTCAGCCTGGAGAAGAGAAGGCTCCAGGGAGACCTTAGAGCCCCTTCCAGTCCCTCAAGGGGCTCCAGAAGAGATGGGGAGGGACTCCAGATCAGAGAGGGGAGCCATAGGATGAGGGGAAACAGTTTTAAATTGAAAGAGAGGAGATTGAGATGAGATCTGGGGAAGAACTTCTTTGTTGTGAGGGTGGTGAGACCCTGGAACAGGTTGGAGGTGCCCCATTCCTGGAGGTGTTCAAGGCCAGGCTGGATGGGACTTTGAGCAACCTGATCTGGTGGGAGGTGTCCCTGCCCAGGGCAGTGGAGGGTTGGATTGAGATGGTCTTTAAGGTCCCCTCCAACCCAAACCATTCTATGATACAAAGCCATTATATTCCTACTTTCTGTCCACCTCCGAATGGGATCAAAGCTGGATTCCTTTATCTGCCACACACCAATGTTTTCAGAGATTCCACCACAGCAAATTACTTCTCAGGACCACACAGAAAGCACCAGCTGAAACACTGGACACAACACAACACAGTTTTCAGAAGCCCCACGATGGAGCTCATCGCTTGATAACCAACCTCAGATTTGAGGAACCCAGGACCTAACGGGGGTTTTGCAAAACGAAATAAAACATAAATAGGGGAAAAGCTGGAGGGGAACAGCTTTAGACTGGAGATGAGGAGAGGGTTCTTCACTGTGAGGGTGGTGGAGCACTGGAACAGGTTGCCCAGGGAGGTGGTTGAGGCCCCTTCCCTGGAGATATTCAAGGTGAGGCTCGAGGAGGCCCTGGGCAACCTGGTCTAGTTGGGGGTGTCCCTGCTGACTGCGGGAGGTCGGACTAGATGACCTTTGGAGGTCCCTTCCAGCCTGGGCAATTCTATGATTCTATGAAAATCTACCCTGGATATAAACCAACCCTGTTTGTCCTGAAAACACCAGTGGTTTCTTCTCCCTCCCTCACCCCAGTTAATGAAGTTGCTGAGTAAAGCCCACCAGCACACACCACCACGTCAAATTCCCAGTATTGGTACCTGGATGGGAATCCAGCTGCGCTGATACGGATGGTCTCCAGCACTCCACAAGCTCTCAGCTGCTGCACCGCTCTCTTCGGGTCAAACCTGCAGTTACATTTAAGGCAGAGATTAACACAACGAGAAGACCAAGCTATTTCCAGAAAGAAAACCCATTCAACAGCCAAAACAGATCTCATCTATTCAATTCCATGCCAAAACCAAGCAATTAATAGGTTCCATGGGTTTGCAGAGCGTTAAGTTAATCAACAACAGTGATGTTCATGTTTCAACTAAGAGCTTTGGTAGACGTCACATGGAAATTCAAGGTGTCAGCCATTGGAATGGGCTGCCCAGGGAGGTGGTTGAGGCACCATCCCTGGAGGTGTTCAAAAGACGGGTTGATGTAGTGCTGGGAGGTATGGTTTAGTGATGATGCTCCTTGTTTGTTGTGTGGGTGTCTATTTTTGTCAGTTAGGTTGACGGTTGGACAAGATGATCTTTAAGGTCCCTTCCAACCTAGAAGATTCTGTGATTCTGTGTTTCTGCTCTCAGCTGACCCCTTACCACTGGCATCTCATTTCCATCAGCCATTTGTCCCGAAAAACTTCATGCCAACCTCCAGCTGAATCCTTGAGCTGTGCTCTCCCTGGTTCCTGGCATGAACCCACTTTCAGATCCATCCATCTTTGGACAGAACGTAGGTACAAGCATCTCCCATCACATCTCTCTCCTTCCATCCCCACCATTGAACACACAGAGAGGTCCCAAGCCTCCAGCTCAAGATGTTGGACCCTGGAAGAGGTCGTTGGATCAAGCTTGGACTCTTAAGATGTAGATGCCCATAGGTGTCGATGCCCATAGACATCTTAGGTTTCCACAACAAGGGTGAGGAGCACAAGCTTCTCAGAAACCTGCTTGTCCCATCTGGAAAACCCAAAGTATTTACACTCATGGGTCAAGATTCCATGAATAATTCTGCTCGGCCTCCGCTGCAGCATAAAAAACAGGCTACTTGGTGCATTTTTAAATTCTCCAGAGCTGTCAAGTCTACGGTAAGTTATTCACTACAACACCGTAAACACGGGGCAGGGTGGAAAAATCAGTCTTGGCTGTCACTCGCTTCAAGGAAGAATTCCCCAAGGCTACAATTTCCATAACCATAAATAATAAACAGGAGAGGTAGATGGACGGGGGAGCTCTCTTGAAGTCTTCTCCATGAGGGATCAACCTCAGACACAGCCTGCAGTCAGATGTCACAAATATCACCATGGGGTGCCAACACTTCATCCAGGCTGGAAGTCTGATGCCCCTTACCTCCCTAAGAAACAAATCTTTCAATTGCACCATGATATAAAGTAGGAATGAGAGTGATGGAGGGTGTAAAAGGCCTTAGGAGGTCTCTAGTCCAAACTCCTACGCTCAAAAGCCAAGGCAGCTATAGGGGAAAGACCAGGTTCCTCAGGGCTTTATCAAGTCAAGGGTTGAAAACTTCCAAAGAAATGAGGTTTCACCACCTTTCTGGGTACCTGCTCCACTCTCCTCATGGAGAACAAAAACACTTCCTTATCTCCAGCCTGAACCTCTCGTTTCAATTTGTGGCCACTGACTCCTGTCCTCCCACCACACATCGCTGTGAAGAGCCTGGTTTCATCCTCTTGGAAAAGCTCCTGTAAGCACTGGGGGGCTGCTATTAGGTCCTTTCTCCAGGCCAAACATCTCATTTTAGCAAAAAACGTGGTGTTTTTGTGAGCTGAAAATGTCTTCTTCTTTTGAGTTGAAAAATGTCATGTTTTAGGAAGAGGAAAAGGTCTGTGTTTTTTCCCTGAACAATGAACGTAACATCAAGTGTTCTCCATATTGCAAGATACCACTTCAATGCTAACCTACAGCAGCATCAGAGGAGGTTTAGGATGGATATGAGGAACAATTTCTTCATGGAAAGGGTTATGAAGCCTTGGAATGGGCTGCCCAGGGCAGTGGTTGAGTCACCATCCCTGGAGGTATTTAAAAGACGGGCAGACGTGGTGGTGAGGGACATGGGTTAGTGGTGGGTTTTGCCAGTGTTGATGGTTGGACTCAAGGATCTGAAAGATCCAGGGATGGGGCAGCCACAGCTTCTCTGGGCAACCTGGGCCAGGATCTCACCACCCTCAGAACGAAGAGGTCTTCCACCCTAGAAAACTTTCTGACCAGGAACCACAGGGAAAATGCAGCAGCTGGGAAGCTTCCTGATGGATCCATATCCCCCAGGATACCACGACCAAGGGTGAGCCTGTTCACAGATGCTTCCTCCTCTTTTGCAGGATGATGTCAGATCCATCTCTGAACTCCGAGGTGGCACCATCCTCAGTGGGAGCACTCGGACCGCATCGGATCAGCCGCAGGGCGATGCCTCCCTGCTTTCGGATCGCAATTATAACTCTCCTTTCTTAAATGTCACCACCTGCAGCTTCTGCCAGGGCCTTCAGAAGCCATCACTGTAAGATCTATGAGGTCTCTTGCATATTAACGGCTGAGCTCTTTTGGACTCACAGCGACCAAAACTGGGCATAAATACATTATTTAAGAGGTCAAACAAGGCTAACAGCTACTCGCTCGCAACGTTCACAGCTCTTGGTAACACCTCAGAACTGCAGAGGAACATCAAGGCTGGCTTTTTGCTTCAGCTGTTCACTCACCTGGAAACCCGCCTGAAGTCGATACAAGTCACATCTTCACCTTTTCCACTTTTTTTCATTCCTTTCTCTGCTAATTTTCACTGTTTAGTATTAGAATGATTTAAACCAAAGCGATTCCGAGATGGAATTGTCCAAAGACCCTATTACTGCAAAGTGAGGATGTTTGCTATTAGCAGATTACTTCTATTAATTACTAGGACCTGCAGTGATGTTCACTTCAGGGGCACCAAAGCCCAAGAGAAGTGACTCCAGCAACCTACGGGGACCTTTCAGTTACAGAACCCTATTACTGCAAAGTGAGGATGTTTGCTAGTAGCAGATTATTTCTATTAATTACTAGGACCTGCACTGATGTTCACTTCAGGGGCACAAAAGCCCAAGAGAAATGACTCCAGCAACCTATGGGGACCTTCCAGTTACTGAATCCCAGAATCACGTGGGGTTGGAAAGGACCTCTGGAGATCATCTCCGCCAACCCCCTGCCAAAGCAGGTCCACCTAGAGGAGGCTGCACGTCTCCAGGTGGAGTTTGAATGTCTCCAGAGAAGGAGACTCCACCACCTCTCTGGGCAGCCTCTTCCAGGGGCTCTGGCACCCTCAAAGTGAAGAAGTTAGGAGAACACCATCACAAGGGGGGCAATCTCTTTAGCAAGAGGAAAAGCCCAAAGCCCACTCCTGGAGCCCTAATTCTGAACGTATTTTCTCATCTGAAAGGCCACTTACTTAAAGGGGAGCTTCTCGTCGTTGGGCTTGATGCAGCGCACGTAGTGCGGGGTGGTGGCATTCAGAGTCTCCATGAGCAGATGCAGCGAGTTGCGGAACTGAAAGACAAAACCACTCGATTTTGAGGAGGGATGAAGGCGTTGTAGCACCTCACCCAAGTTGGCAGGGGCTGCAAGAAGCCACCTGAGGTGCCAGCCTCTGGATGTGACACAGCGTGAACCTCCCCATCAACCCCGCACGCGCAGTAGCAATTCGGAGATGACACTGGTGGGTTCAGGGCTTTCAGGTCAACGTTGCACAACAGCAACAAGCTTTTGCTCAGGGTGAACATCTCCAAGGGTGGAGACAGCACCACCTCTCTGGGCCCCTAAGCACTGCTCAACTGTCCACACAGGGGGAAGAATTGCTCTTTTTCTCAAGTTCTTTCAATTTTTGAGCATCATAGTACATTGGGATACAATTTAGTGAATCCCAGAGCGGCCTCCACCCTCCTTAGACCATGTCTCAACTCCTTCCAGTCAAGACTACTCAAGCCTGCTCTTCTGAGATGCTGCTAGAAGGTGTCCAAAACGCACTAGCCATCAACACAGTTCACAGGAAGGTCTCCTCCCTTCCCCCCCACCAACAGCTTTTTATCTATCTCTGCTTCAGGCTGAAAAAACAAGATCTCAACTGTAAATATGTATCTGGATTCCCCCGCCGTCGACTGACCCGCTCATGTCATACGTTACCTGGTGGCCCACCGTTTTCTTGTGCTCCTTGTTGGCAGCTTTGATGGCTGGTCTGGCAGAACGGACGCTGATTTTGGATGTCCCCTTCCCCGCGGAAGCGGTGGGCCCAGCATCCTTCTCATCTTGGAACAAGTCTGCCACCATTTGATACTAAAACGAAAAGCAAGGTCTCAGCATCAATTTGCTGGATGAACCCACCCAAATCTCATCGCTCCCATCATTTTTTGTACCCATCTTAAACCAGGAAGGGGATAAAGTTGAAGAAAGAAGCATTGCCTACATAAACCACATCAGCAGGAGCATCGGTCGTTCTGTTTTGTAGCTCATCAAACCTTGAAACGCGCACGTTAAATCAAACAAGTGAAAAAAAGAGGATGTCCAAGGCACAAAACCTCCTAAACGTGATGTGATTCTTGCTCCCGGGCTTCGTTTCGAGCTACTGATGGCAGCAAGGATGGGGTCCTCACAGCGTAGTCTCCAGGAATAGGGTCTCCACGTGAGGACAGGGAGCAGCCCACTCCCACCGTGGCCCCTCGAGGGACGCTGGCTCTTCTGAATAATTAAGAGACACCAGCACTTCCTCCCTAATTACTTGCATTTCAGCACGAACGAGCAAGGTGACAGCAGGACAGCCATCCTGAAGCCCTGAAAGCACCACGTTTAGCTCCTCAGATCCCTGAAGTCTGGGCTTTCTGGCAAACCAGCAGCAACATTTCCGCGTCGGAAACGGCAGAGAAGGATGAACTGGCAGATGTGGTTTGTGCTATTTTCTTGAAGGGGCAGGATGTTCAAATTTGCATTAGGCTGGGGAACTCCAGCCGTGCACCTACACAGGTTCCCCCTTTACATTCAGATGGTAAATATTTAAATTTTAAAAATAAAAATCAATCACCATCACTGGGTGGAATTTCTCTTAGCAGCTCACTCAACTCCTACCAGAATAAAAGCTCACACCTTCTTTTCCTAATCCTCCAATTCCAAAAAAAAAAAGATATCCTGACAGCCATCGTGCTTTGATGACATGTCATGTCCTCACATCACTCAACACTCCTCATGTTGAGGTGGAACTTCTTATGTTTGAGTTTGTGCCCATTCCCTCTTGTCCTGTCCCTGGGCACCACTGAAAAAAGCCTGGCCCCATCCTCCTGACACCCACCCTTCAAGTATTTCTAGGCCTTGATCAGATCCCCCCTCAGTCTTCTCTTCTCCAGACTCAAAAGCTCCAAGTCCCTCAGCCTTTCCTCAGCAGAGGGATGCTCCAGGCCCCTCAGCATCTTTGTAGCCCCTCTGCTGTCCCCTCTCCAGCAGTTCCCTGTCCTTCTGGAACTGGGGAGCCCAGAACTGGACCCAGTGCTCCAGCTGGGGCCTCCCCAGGGCAGAGCAGAGGGGCAGGATGACCTCCCTCCACCTGCTGGTCCCACTCTTCCTCATGCCCCCCAGGATGCCATTGGCCTTCTTGGCCACAAGGGCCCATTGCTGGCTCATGGGCACCCTGTTGTCCACCAGGACTCCCAGCTCTTTCTCCTCAGAGCTGCTCTCCAGCAGGTCACCCCCACCCTGTCCTGGTGCAGGGGGTTATTCCCCCCCAGGTGCTGCACCCTACACTTGCCAGCAAGAATCCTACACACTCAACAAGAACCCCCAAGGTGAGTTCTCAGCTTGCTTAAAGCAAAACTGGTGTGACTGGGACCATCTGTAGCAGCCCAGGATCTATTCCATCGATGCTGGGGGTTAAGTGGGAAGGATGGATCCCTCCTTTCCAACTGGCAGAGTCAAAAATATTAGTAATAATTATTAATTCATAATTATAGAGGATTGGGATATAATCTCTTGCTCGGATGCTTTCAATCAGTATTCAAATCGGTTTCCTTAATTCAAAGAACATCAACTCTTAACTGGTTTAGCTGACCAGCCCTAACAAAACTCATTAGCTGCTTTATAAAGTCTCTTTGCCCATCTTGTTGACGGCAGTTAATTGCATTCTAATTAGCAGAACGCGATTCTGCCTCGGTGGGCGCGCTTCATCAGCGACGTTCTTGCTGACGGAGAAGGTGTTTAAGTCCTCGCTGCGTAGAAGGCACATGGCAAGCAAGAGGCAAAAAAATTAATTAAAAATTTTAAAAAAATCAAGAAAATTGAATCTACCAGCCAAGAGGGTTAGCGAAAGCAAGAGGAGATGAGGAGGGTGAGGATGCTCCTGCCAAGGGAAGTGCTCCTCTTCCTCCTTGGACAGCATGGCATCGGGCTGAGGAACGCTCCCATGTCGTTAAGAAACGTCTCAAAGGCAAAAATTTATCAATCAATCAATCACCCAAAGCTTCTCAGAGCCGAGTGCATTTAAGCTGGATCACAAATGTAGATTTTGGGGTCACCTCCAGGGCCACCACCGTGACTTAACAAGGTCCTAAGGCCTGACCTCAAGGACCATTAGGTTATTTTGCAATTGTAGGTGGCACCATCCCCACCACTCTACCTCCAGCGAGTTAAAAGTCTCCTCTGCACCTAAGGGGAGAAGTCAGAATTCCCTACCAGTTACCACCAGTTCTGCAGCTCTCCCTCCACCAGCAAGTTCAGCACGGGCTGAATAATTCATCAATTCATCAATTATTCCTGCAGGTTACCTGGCATTTCTAATAAACTCTAATCACGCCCAGTTTTCTCGTTAGGAAAGCTGTGAGCTTCCCAGACACACACAGAAATCTTGATGGAGGGGTAATTAAAGCCCAGCTTCGCAGTCGTTAAGACTCACAACTGGCCCCATGGATGAAAAAATTGCACCATCGTGGTATAAATTAATTTCCAAGATGCAGGACGAGCTCAATTCATTTCCCATTTTCCTCTCTTACTTTGACAAGAACCAACTCCTGCTTAAAATGCTCCTAAAAATAATACCTCCTCCATCTCCCCTCCTCATGCTTCTTATTTAGGGTGGCATTTGGGAGGTCACACCCAGCTGTAGACCCAAGGGAGGGTGGTATCAATAGGAGATATCTGGATACGAGTCACACAGTCTCAATTTTGGCTCCTGGATGGTGTGTTGGACCTCACAGGACTGGATTTTCATCCTAACTTCTTAAAAGGGCTGTCCCTGGAAGGGTTAAAGTCGTTTAAAGTTTCACCTGGTTAATTAACAATGAAAGTCTCAAGGCTGCAGGGGGAATTTGTGGTCTGGTTTTAACCAACAAGAACTTGAAATGCCCTAAAAGTCTGCATCATGGACACTTTGAACCCAACCCACCCAGATGCACACTCGTGGAGAAGAAGAGTCAGAGTAGAATCATAGAATCGTTGAGGTTGGAAGGGACCTTTCAGATCATCAAGTCCAACCATCAACCCAACACTGACAAAGCCACCACTAACCCATGTCCCTCAGCACCACGTCTGCCCAGCTTTTAAATACCTCCAGGGATGGTGACTCCACCACTGCCCTGGGCAGCCTCTTCCAAGGCTTGATAACCCTTTCCATGAAGGAATTTTTCCCAATATCCATCCTAAACCTTCCCTGGTGCAACCTGAGGCCGTTTCCTCTTGTCCCATGGCCTGTTCCTTGGGAGAAGAGACCGACCCCCCCTGGCTACACCCTCCTTTCAGGGAGTTGGAGAGAGCGAGAAGGTCTCCCCTCAGCCTCCTTTTCTCCAGGCTGAACACCCCCAGCTCCCTCAGCCTCTCCTCACAAGACTTGTGCTCCAGACCCCTCACCAGCTCCGTTGCCCTTCTCTGGACCCGCTCCAGCCCCTCAAGGTCTTTCTTGTAAGAAATGTTTCCTCAGGAGAAGAAAAGATACTACCTGGCACAAAATACTTGTCATCCAGAAGTGACAGCAAGCGTGATCATCACTATGTGTTAATTTGTCCATAAAATAGCTCTAGAGCAGCTGGAACATCTCCGAGTTCACATGAGATTTCCAGCATTGTATATGAACCCCATTTTTCACATAATGATTATTAAAGTAATTAAAAGTCACATGGTCAACTATGATGGACTACAGCTAAGGGGAACAGCTGTTTTTATACAGAAGGATGGTGGGGTCAGCAATGCTGCCCACAATATACAAGCTACGCTGCTGACCGTGGCTTTTAATCCCAGCATCATCTGTGGCTCCACATGTTCTTGAGAACATCTTCAGTGCCAGGTGATGGGTGGGGAGCTCTGAGCAAGAGTTAAGTGGGATTTATGCTGCCCCATAACTGGCTCTTCCTGATTTTTGCTCTCAGTGATCATAAAAAGAAGATGATCAGCAGGTTTGGAGAGGATTCTTCTGATGCACCTCAAGGGGACACCAACACCAGGGTGGAGGAGAGTAGAAGACAATGCATGTCCACACCTGGGTGCAACCATAGGTCCCTCCTCTCCCCATTATTATTATTATTATCTCCTAATTCTCTGCTTTTACCTTGCTGGCTTTCAGGATGTTGATCTGTTCCTCATACACGGTGTCCCTGTTCTTCTCCAGAAATCCCTCGCTTTGGTATTCCACCTAGAAGGAGACAAAGGAAGAAGCCCAGAAGGTAAAAATCCAACCACACAGGGACAAAGGTGCTGTGTCCCACCACATCCCTACTGTTGGAGCTCACCTAAAAAACCCGAGAGGGCGAAAGAGGGGAGGAAACAACTGGAATTCAGAGGTCACTTTTAAGCAAAGAAAGTGAATCTGAATGAAAGTAAAAGCCTTAACACAAACCTAAAGTGTTTCTTTAATCATTAAAGTGGGACCCAACCACACTTCCATGGAAACCAGGGGGAAAAATGCAAAGCTCATCAGTCCCTCTTTTGTTCGCTCCTCAACTCCTTGGAAGCAAATCGATAAACCTCCAAAGATGCCCTGGCTACGTCTCTTGAAGGTCTCTTGTTTGTGAAACTAGAGAGGGTTGGGATGCAAAAAAAAGAATTTAGAGAGTATAGAAGAGAATTTTATTCTATTTTTCACATTTGAGGTTGACTGAAATAACTGACCATAAAAAAAAAAAAAAAAAGAGGAAAACTTGCAAAGAAACAGCATTTGTGGAGGATGAACGTTCAAAATTACTTGTGTAAGGAAAACTGAGTATCAACCATCACAGAATCATGGAATGATATGGGGTTGGAAGGGACCTCTGGAGATCATCTACTCCAACCCCCTGCCAAAGCAGGGCCACCCAGAGCAGGTTGCACAGGAATGTGTCCAGGTGGGGTTTGGAATCTCTCCAGAGAAGGAGACTCCACCACCTCCCTGGGCAGCCTCTGCCAGGGCTCTGCCACCCTCAAAGTGAAGAAGTTCCTCCTCATGTTGAGGTGGAACTTCTTATGGTCAAGTTTGTGCCCGTTTCCTCTTGTCCTATCCCTGTGCAGCACTAAAAAAAAGACCAGCCCCATCCTCTTGACACTCTCCCTTGACGACCATCAACCTTTGCTGTGAAAAGTGCTCCTCACATCCAGGACAAGCCTGGTTAGAAGAGGCACTTGCATGGGATCACAGCACCCACACGTCATCTGGCTCCTCAGATACATCCCCAGGTTGACCTTAAGTTTTCCCTTCTAACAAAGGTGTGTTTTGGACAACTACAAGCTTTTAAGATTCCTATTTGCTGTAATTGAATCCCTGGAGGGGTTCAAGGTTGGGTTGGAGGGGGCTTGGAGCAACCTGGTCTAGAGGGATATGTCCTTGCCCAGGGCAGGTGGGTTGACACCCAAGTGAGATTACTGCCAAATAGGCCATCCCTATCACCAAAAAGCAGCTCGTTGGTGCTATAAACGTTTCCTTCAGGCGGTTCTTTCTTCATAGAATCCTAAAATGGTTTGGGTTGGAAGGAACTTTAAAGACAATCCAGTTCCATCCCAGTTCCAAAAGGTAGGGACACCTCCCACCAGACCAGGTTGCTCCAAGCCACCTCCAACCTGGCCTTCAACCCCTCCAGGGATGGGGCAGCCACAGCTTCTCTGGCCAACCTGGGCCAGGCTCTCACCACCCTCACACCAAAGAAGTTCTTCCCCACATCTCATCTCCATCTCCCATCTTCCAGTGTCAAACCCTTCCCCCTCGTCCTATGGGGCCCTCGCAGCATCCATGTGTTTCCCATTCCTACGTCCAAGCCCCAGTGCACTCAACCACCAGGTGCCCAGTTACCTTATCAGCAAAGTGTAGGATGATGAAGGAGGTGTTGGACATCCGGGGCTTCTGGAAGTGCTGGCTGCTGGCGTGTCGGTCGTACAGCTTCTGCGCCCAGTTCTGGTCAGTTCCTTTGGGAACCTGGATGGGGAGAAAATGGAACGAAAAAGTCATGGTCAAGCACGTGAGGAGATTTTGGAGGAACCCTCCTTGTGAGCTTCACATCAGCTACAGGAACATCACTTGGATCCCAAACAAAGAATGCATTAATCCCAGTTGCACACAGAGTTGGGACTTCAGACCCACCTACTAGTCCTCCAGCAGCCGAGTAACTCCCATGTCCCCCTCCCACACATCCAACCAGGAATCTCCTGGACACCAAACCCTTCTTCTGCATCCTATTCACACTGAAATCAGGGTGTAAGTCCTATGTGGATCTTTCCCTGAAAGGAGTCTTGATGTTCCAAGGGCTGGAGCCCCTCTGCTGGGAGGAAAGGCTGAGAGAGTTGGGGGGGTTCAGCCTGGAGAAGAGAAGGCTCCAGGGAGACCTTAGAGCCCCTTCCAGTCCCTCAAGGGGCTCCAAAAAAGCTGGGGAGGGACTCTGGATTGGGGATTGGAGACATAGGATGAGCAGGAAGGGTTTTAAACTGAAAGAGGGGAGATTGAGATGAGATGTGGGGAAGAACTTCTTTGGTGGGAGGGTGGTGAGAGCCTGGCCCAGGTTGCCCAGAGAAGCTGTGGCTGCCCCATCCCTGGAGGGGTTCAAGGTTGGGTTGGAGGGGGCTTGGAGCAACCTGGTCTAGAGGGATATGTCCTTGCCCAGGGCAGGTGGGTTGAAACAAGATGATCTTTAAGGTCTCTTCCAACCCAAACCATTCAATGATTCTATGAAAAGACATAAGGGCGCACAAGGAAAGCACCGTGGCTGTAACTATCTGTTATTTTATACTTTTCCAGAGCAGCAAGTTTGCCACAAAAAAAAATTCTTGAAAACCAGTGGAAACAAGGAGTTAAGTTGCAAAATTTGAGGGCTGGTGTGGTTTGTCCCCATCCCTCTTGCCTGCTCAGCAGGGTAAAGTGCACGGGCTGGTGGACCCTCCATCACTTCCAACAGGACAGCAATGGTCGCACGTATATACACACATTTAATTTTTAATTAAAAAAAATAGCTGACTGGATTATTTAAGTTAAAAAAGAGAAGAGTCAGAAGAAAAAGTATTAGGTGATATTTAAAATTTGATGGGACCGGGTCTATAAAGCACAAACCAATTGCGCAGCATCAGGGAAAGCTCAGGATCATCCATCAGGTCCTTAGATAGAATTTTCTACGAAAAGGGAGAGAAGAAATTTGGGCTGCAAACAACAAGAAGGAAAACTTGAGGGAGGTGAGGAATATTTCTTCATGCTGCTCTGAAAACAGCCTTTGATTTCATGGCAGCGAGTCAAACCACGCCAGAAGGGTTCTGGACGCGGGGAAGAAACGATACGGTTTATATATAAATATTAAAAGGCATTTCTTTATGCAATTATAGACATGTTTTATTTATGCAAGGTAGACACGCGTATTTAAATATGGAGCTATGTAAATGCAGATGGGTTGCTTTTTTATGTATAAATATGAAATATAACTGATGAAAACACCCTCTTTGGAGCCATCATTAGGTCTCTCCTGGTTGGGACCGGGCTGTGGGTGCGGAGAAGGGACACGGTGACCACCTGATGCTGCAGAGAACAGATTTATCTCATGCCAGCTCTTCATTTAGATCATCCACTTTGCTAAAAAACCTGCTTATCTCAGAGCTCCACTTCAAAGGCATCGCTCCTGCCTCCCAGAAAGAGGGTTTCACTGTTTTCACCGCTCTCCGCTCGCCGTTGTGCAGCCTGGGTATTTTTGGCTGCCTGAGAAACACCTGATAGGGACCGAGTCCCGGAGATAAAAATTAACAGGGGCATTATCTCTACTCTTATAACAGCTTTTGGTCCTGGCTTGGCTGTTTAAAGCCTTCAAAGCTAGTGAGAAAGTTATTTATCTCATCAGTGAGAGACTTTTTTAGGGGATGGGGAAGAGGAAAACCTTGTAAGTATCACAGAATGGTTCAGGTTTGAAGGCACATTAAAGATCATCAAGTTCCAAACCCTCTGCCATGGGCAGGGACACCTCCCACTAGACCAGGCTGCTGGTTGGATGGAAATCTCTAAACAGGAAAAGTCTTAGACCAGTAATTTTACAAGGTCACTGCTTCTGCTCCTCTGCCCTCGCTGTCCCACCACCCATCACTCTGCATAAAATCATAATCGTGGCCAGGGTCACCTCCCATCTCCATACACTGACCTCTGAGCTGCCAAGAGCTACTCCAATTGAAATCAAACCTTCCCAGCAGGGCCATGGTCACCTCAAGTCCACTGCTTTTGGATTAGAAGCATCCCAGGGTCAAGAACCCATGACCACCAGACAGCCGAGGAGATCAAACCTACCCAGCACAGCCAAGGTCACCTGAAGTCCAGAGCTTTTGGACCAGAAGCATCCCAGGGCCAAGAACCCACCATGACTATTAGGGAAGCCCCATCCCTGGAAGAGTTTAAGACCAGGCTGGATGGGGCGTTGGGCAACCTGCTCTAGTAGGTTGTCCCTGCCCATGGCAGGGGGGTTGGAAACTGATGATCTTTAAGATCCCTTCCAACTCTAACCATTCTATGATTCTATGAGAGAACTGAGCAGAAAAAACCTTCCCAGCAGGGCCAGGGTCACCTCAAGTCCACTGCTTTTGGATCAGAAGCATCCCAGGGTCAAGAACCCACCACGACCATCAGACAGCTGAGATGTTTTGAGTTGTTTGGACTAAAAGGTGAAGTTTCCTCCACCATCACCTCCAACAGAAGGACAATTAACAGGATAAAAGCAACGAAGTTCTGTTCAAACCTGATGATCTAAAAAGTCAACCCTCTGAAAACACAGTAGGAGGTATTAATATTTTATTTCTTTTCTCCTTATCATTCCAATATATATGAAAACCTGAAAAGAACCTCAGCTTCCTCCTCGCTCCAGAGACACGTTCCACCACAAGTGATGTTCCCGACTGTAAAGTCATAAAAACTGACAACGTGACGTAGACGAGGTTATTCCACCATTGGATTAAAGGGTCTGCCCCAAAGGAAAGCCCAGAGGTCCCACCTCCATCTATCTGTTCGTGGAGCAGAAATCCCCCCGGACAGGACCGCGCGGCACAGGAAGGCGACGTGCTGATTTCTGACGTTCGAAAAACTAACAAGTCCAGACAAGGAAAATAACATCTGCTCAGATACCCAAGCTCAGAGCGATGAGGAGAGACAAGTGGGATTGAAAAGTGGTTTGCTAGAAGCAGACCTCAAGTCTTTCTGGCACTTGACAGAAGGACACGGGAAAGGTTGAAGAGCATCTTTTGAACAGCCTTCGAAAAACGCGTAACGCGATGGCAACGTGCCCTAAAACACAAAAGGGAGCCACCACAGAGTTTGAGAACGTGAAGGAGCTCGTGGGTTTGGTTAGACACATCCCCCTTCGGCAGCCTCAGGGTCACATTGCTCCTCAGAGGAAAGAATTCCACCAAGATCCATAAAAAACCTTGGACAATGATGCCACAATTGACACATCAACCCTTCCAGCCAAGCCTGTTCTTGATCAAACTCTTTTAGATGCACTTCATGTGAACAGAACATTTTTTTGCATTATTTTTGTCATTCCCACTCTGATCCCAGCACAGGCAAAAGCAAGATAACAGTAGGTAGAAGGCCATCTTATGGAGAAACCTGGATCTCCACACCAACTTCAGAAAGACACTCAAAAGGAGTATGGAAGACATGTAGCACTTCCAAAGAGCAAGAAGTTTCAGCCTGAAACTTCATCCAGCTTTGACTTTGACAAAGACTTGACTCCATTTCTTGTAAGAGTTTTCAATTTCCTCCAAAGACGCTCGCCGTTGTGCAGCCTGGGTATTTTTGGCTGCCTGAGAAACACCTGATAGGGACCGAGTCCCGGAGATAAAAATTAACAGGGGCATTATCTCTACTCTTATAACAGCTTTTGGTCCTGGCTTGGCTGTTTAAAGCCTTCAAAGCTAGTGAGAAAGTTATTTATCTCATCAGTGAGAGACTTTTTTAGGGGATGGGGAAGAGGAAAACCTTGTAAGTATCACAGAATGGTTCAGGTTTGAAGGCACATTAAAGATCATCAAGTTCCAAACCCTCTGCCATGGGCAGGGACACCTCCCACTAGACCAGGCTGCTGGTTGGATGGAAATCTCTAAACAGGAAAAGTCTTAGACCAGTAATTTTACAAGGTCACTGCTTCTGCTCCTCTGCCCTCGCTGTCCCACCACCCATCACTCTGCATAAAATCATAATCGTGGCCAGGGTCACCTCCCATCTCCATACACTGACCTCTGAGCTGCCAAGAGCTACTCCAATTGAAATCAAACCTTCCCAGCAGGGCCATGGTCACCTCAAGTCCACTGCTTTTGGATTAGAAGCATCCCAGGGTCAAGAACCCATGACCACCAGACAGCCGAGGAGATCAAACCTACCCAGCACAGCGAAGGTCACCTGAAGTCCAGAGCTTTTGGACCAGAAGCATCCCAGGGCCAAGAACCCACCATGACTATTAGGGAAGCCCCATCCCTGGAAGAGTTTAAGACCAGGCTGGATGGGGCGTTGGGCAACCTGCTCTAGTAGGTTGTCCCTGCCCATGGCAGGGGGGTTGGAAACTGATGATCTTTAAGATCCCTTCCAACTCTAACCATTCTATGATTCTATGAGAGAACTGAGCAGAAAAAACCTTCCCAGCAGGGCCAGGGTCACCTCAAGTCCACTGCTTTTGGATCAGAAGCATCCCAGGGTCAAGAACCCACCACGACCATCAGACAGCTGAGATGTTTTGAGTTGTTTGGACTAAAAGGTGAAGTTTCCTCCACCATCACCTCCAACAGAAGGACAATTAACAGGATAAAAGCAACGAAGTTCTGTTCAAACCTGATGATCTAAAAAGTCAACCCTCTGAAAACACAGTAGGAGGTATTAATATTTTATTTCTTTTCTCCTTATCATTCCAATATATATGAAAACCTGAAAAGAACCTCAGCTTCCTCCTCGCTCCAGAGACACGTTCC